CCCCTGCTCTTGCCTGTGTGTCTCTTTTAAATCCAGAGGCACGTCCTCCCATGGATTGTGAATTTAGCTGGAAATGATGTGGCTGAGCTTGAAGGTTGTGGCTTTTCTTTCGTTTGGTCTCCGCTCAAAGGCTTGAGCTTTCACTCAGATTTTCCAGAGCTGTTTTCTGCTGTTTTCAGGTTCTGGAGAGTGGAAGATTTAACATGCTTGTTCCCACTTCAAAAGAGAGATGCCTGCTGCCTTTCCCTGGCGCGTGCGGAATAAACTTGGCGGGCTCTTAAGCCTTTAAAGAGAAGAGTGATCCCGGCCAAGTTTGAGAAAGGCAGGAGGAGGAAACGTTTTAAGTTGAAAACTCATTAAAACCAAACTGAACTGTTAGTCCTGTAAGAAGAAGGTAATGGAAGCAGCCTGCACCCACGTTAAACCTCGGGGTCTCCACATTTTTTTTCTTCCTAGGCTGATCTTTCCCTTGTTAAACTCGCTGCTGGAAAGATCAGCACCGGGAATCATGAGTAGTTTGAGGTGAAGCGTCGCTGCCTTCCGAAGAAAGCGTCGCTGGCGGCGAGGATGAGCGTGGTTGTGCTGGTGTGGTGGGTCAGCCTGGAGCCTGCTCTCCAGGAGATTTCAGGACACCAGCACCTGCAGCGTCGTGCTGTCAGCCCTAGTTCTTGCTCCTCCTGCCTCAATAACTCAGGGTTTCACACACACCTACGTGTTGGGCCTCCTTAACTGCCTTTTACTGCAGTTTAAATTCTTTTCAAGCATCTTAGGTGTATCCTGGATCCTTTTCCTCTTTCGCTGCAGAGCAAGAAGTTATTCTTTCAGTCTCTCTCTGTTCTCCTTCCCTTGTCACAAAGGACATCAGCTTTGCCTTGAGTGTTAGGTAAGAAGCAGCGAGTGAAAATGGGAAGGTTTGACACGGGCCTGTCTTGAATTTGCCTTGAAATCATGTTTTTCGGTACGACCCGACTTTTTTTTTCGCGTGTTAAGTGTAGAAAATTGAAGCTGGATTTTAGGAGACCTCCTACTAAGGAGATCTCTCTCGGGCAGGAGTCGTCTGTAGACGTGAGAGTGCTTGTGTAAACATAACGGGAGTTGTCTGCCCTCCCCGAAAATACCCAGGGCTGAACGAAACGGCTTCATTCTGCCCCTCTGCGCGATGAAATGTGTTTGTTTGAAAGCCCTGGAGAAGAAGGAGCAGGGGCGAGTCCTGCCTGCGCAGCCTCTCCAAATAGACGGGGATTGTTCAGCCTCTCCCCCTTCCTCCGGAGACGAGAAACCAGCCAGTACTTGGGGTGGCTGCGGTTTGTTTTTAATAACTCCAGTTGGAGGGTTTGCATGTTCCCGGTCCCAGAAAGCTGAAATCTTTGTTCCTTGGAGGGCGAGGCCGTGGGGAGCCGCTCGGATGCTTCTCAGATCGAGCTGGGGGCTGAGTCCGTGCCCCCGGGGGGGGCTGAGGTCCCTCTCTCGCGCTCGAGCTGCGTTTTTTCACCGCAGTGCAGCGGGAGGCCTGTGCAGCAGCTCGTCTCCGTGCCGCTGGCTCCGACGCTGGAATCCTCGCCCTGTCTAACAGCGGACGCTGCGAGCTTGGCCTTATACCCCTGCCTTCCCCTGGAGAGCACCTGCCTGGCTTTTTCAGGCTCCAGAGGCAAAACCAGCCTCCGGTGGGGATGAAGGCGGAAGGGATGGCTCGAGAAGGGATGGCTCGTCGGCTGCGGTGGAGCAGGCACCTCGAGAATCCAGAGCGGGTGACACGGGGGCTCCGTGGATCTCGCAGAAACAGGGAAACAGCTGCTGAGAACAGGCCCTGCATGTCTGGGCGCTTCGGGGAGGTCGCTGCCTGCCCTGTGCTTAAAGTACAGTCACTGCAGCCCTTTGCAAGCTCTTTCTCCGAGCCCTCCTGGCCTTGGATTTGCATCTTCTCTGCCCAGCGCTCCCCACAACCCAGCGATGGATCCGCAGTGCTGCGTCGCTCCGTTGCCTCTCTTTCTTCACAGCTCCCTGGCCCACGCTGCGCCTCAAGTTTTAGCAGCTTCCCTCTGAGCCCATTTTGACAAAACTCGACCGTTAAACTCTCTTCATCCAATTGCCTCCTTATAAAGCAGCCCATCCATCCCCAACCTTTAACCACGACGCTTTCCCCTCAAGCCCTTCTGGCTGCAGCTGACCAGAAATCCCTGCTGAGAGAGGGGAAACCCAAGATCTCATCCCTCCAGGCTGCCTCAGAGTTTATTTGCTTCGACAGCACCTTCTTGGGAATCTTCGCTGTGGCGCTGAGCTCTGGCCACCTTCTTCACAGAGGAGGAGGATGGAGGAACTGCCTGAAGAATTCCAGAGTGAAACAGGGTCTCTCTGCTTCCTGCTCGGGCGTTAGATGCCGGCGCTGGGGTCGGGGGTTCTCCGTGGTTGTGTTACGGTGCCAGGAAGCACGGCCCCCTCCTCGGCCAGTCCACGGGCGACCGGGAGCCTCGCTGCTTCGGGTTCCCGCCACTCTGATGTCCGATTAAAAATGATTTCGGTGCGTTTCAGCCCCGGACGTGAGGAGGGAAGAGCCTCTCTGATGGACGTTCTTGTTCATCTCTGGTTTAGAGGCTGTTTCCAGATGGTTGGGATTTTTCCCCCCCCCCCTTCCAGTGCTGAATAGAGCAATAAAAGTTCATCCTTGGCCGTCTGGCGTGGAATAAAGGATCTGTGGGGGAGCACTGCGTGTCTGGGGGAATATCCCTACCACCACCTCAGCTGCTGGTCCGAACAGGGCAGAGAACTTGCACTTAACGTTTAACACAGTGTGGGTTTAGTTTTCACCGTCGGCGGACGCCGGAGCTCTGTGAGCTCTGATTTTAATCGTTCTTCACTGAAGGCGGCTCTGCCAGTGGCCGCTCAGCAGCATCTCGTGCACAGGGGAGCTCATCCAGCCGTACCCCGAGAGCTGAAACTGTTGCTGAGTTCCGTCATCTCCTTCAAAACCTGCAGGATTTTTGGTTTTGCCACAGAAACCAGCCCTGGTTTGCAAAGATTTTTTTATTATTTTTTTTTTTTCTAGCTTGAAACCTATTCTAGAAGATTCATGCTAAACCTGAGTGACAAAACAAAAGTTTCCTGCCAGGTAATGTTTAACCTGCTCGCCAGTCGTTTTGCTTGGCAGAAAACACGCATTTCACTGGAAGAAAAAAATAGAAGAGACGTGTTCCTC